ATTTATTTGTATTACTCTTTTTTAATGTGGGTTGCATAATCATTGTCTTCTCCAGGCCTTGCAGGCCCCTGCTTGCCATGAGAACATGGTGAAGGTTGGAGGCTACATTTTGGGAGAGTTTGGTAACCTAATTGCTGGGGACCCACGTTCCAGGTATGTTGGCTTTTTCAATGGCAAGGCACTAAATGAATCCTTGAAATGACTAACAGTAACTTCTCTGTCCTGTCATCCAGCCCTCTGGTCCAGTTCAACCTTCTCCACTCAAAGTTCCATCTGTGCTCCGTGCCGACGCGGGCCCTGCTCCTCTCAGCCTACATCAAGTTTATCAACCTTTTCCCAGAGACCAAGGCCACGATTCAAGAAGTGCTGCGCTGCGACAGCCAGATACGCAACTCGGATGTGGAGCTGCAGCAGCGTGCTGTAGAGTATTTGAAGCTTTCTTCCATTGCCAGCACTGATGTCCTGGTTAGTATTGATGACTGTGTTAGACTAAACTCAACTCAGCTCAGCTCAGGCCCAGAAATAACTGAATGAAAAATGTTTGCAGGGAGCACCGGTGTGCATAGTTAATACATTTTTGTTACACTGTTTACATTTCCGGTCAGAGTTTAGATCCTTGTAGGCTTTCTACTGAATATGTTGTCAATTTATGGTGATATTGATGTTTAGTCAGATGCTGAAAACTATTTTTTCCTAAACCTACATTATGGTTTTCCTTTATGTTCCTTAGGCCACTGTCCTGGAGGAGATGCCTCCCTTCCCAGAAAGGGAGTCATCAATCCTGGCTAAGCTGAAGAAGAAGAAGGGACCTGGTGCCGTGTCTGTGACAGAGCTGGAAGACGGCAAAAGGGAGGGTGGGGAGTTGAATGGAGGGGGTGACCGGGGTCCAGAAACAACTGCCATGGCTGCCTCGAATGCTGTAAGTGTCTCTCTGCGTGTTTTATTCACAAAAAAATGAATTGTCGGTTTACTCTTGCTTTAGTACTGGCAGCTCAAGCAAAAATACAGGTTTTTTTTGTGACCCTGGTGCATGTTCCCTTTATTTTTCAGTCCACCCCGTCACCATCTGCAGACCTCCTTGGAATTCGTTCTGCTGCTCCCATTAATGCTGCTCCAGCCAGTGCTGGCAGCTTATTGGTAGATGTGTTCTCTGAGACAGGGCCTGCTGCACCTTCTGCTGCTGTGAATGACGACGGCTTCTTAAGGTAAAAAGTCATCTTTTGATGAGCTGATGTAGAATTCACAATACAGTCCAGTATTAGTGGTTAATTGATTATTCTGTAGCTCTGAGAGAGAGAAAGTTACGAAAGGACCACATCTTGATTGGCTCTGTTCTAACCAGTATTGTTCTGTTAAGCATGGACAGATCATCCCCGAGACAGATCCTCAGGACATCACTGATTCCTACTGTGCTGTATCACTTACATTTATTGTACATGTAGTCTTCTCGGGTAGGTTAGTGGAGTGGCGTTACCAATTTACACCTGAGGTAACCTACAGTAACTGCAGTAACCTGGCTACTGGGAATGTGTGGGGTTTCTCATTATAGATATCTATAATTCAGTTGAATTATTACTGTCTTTAATTCCAGTTTCAGATATCTAAAATGTAATTCTGACTAGTCCTAATTCAAGTTTGTGATATCTGCAATGCAATTCAGGCTAATTCAAACTTAATAGTTATACTTTTCAGAGGTGGGGAAGTAACTCGTTTTGGGTAGAGGATACTTTGTGGTTGTTTCAGTAGGAGTTTATTGGAACTCTTCCATATTAGGACACATCCCACTGCGTAATAATGATATGTCCTTTTATTCATTGCTGAGTTGTTTTTCTGTCTGCAGATTTTGTCATTTACAAATGAATCAGTTAGAGGGCAATTTGAAACCTTTTTCATATGGTAGTGAAATCTATGTTCCCCTTGAGAACACACTTCTCAAAGAGTGGCTTTCGTACTAGACTGCGTGAAACTGGTTTTGGACCTTAATGAGGAAGCACCCTGAATAGGCCATGTAGTTTTATTTCCAGTTGTAAACTGTTAATGTAAACAGTTGTGATGTTTGTGGTGTGTTTGTGCTGTTAGTCTACTAGGACTAACTACTTGCCCATGTTTGTTGTTGTTTTGTTGGCTCTGTCTTTCTTTGACCTGTCAACCTGGAGACATTCATAGGCAAATACTTTATGCTGATGTTACTTCTACTTACTAAATATAACACTATACCATTTAAATATGTTATTATACTTAAATGCAAATACGTTTCTGTTGTAGTTGACATAGGAAAGGTTGGGTACGCAAACCTAGGTGCCCCCTTATTTCTCTGCTTATACATTCCTTATTTATATATATATATATTTTTTTTTACCATATTAGAATTGAAAATTGCATTTGATAATAACTAGAATCAATAAGCAGAATTGGAATTGATCAAATTAAAAAACCCTCGACATTGCAGGGTTCCCATGGCTCCTTAAAAAGTCTTAAATTAAAATCCATTAAATAAAGGTCTTAATTCCAATAAATTAAGGCTTTTCAGTAACTTAAAGTCACATTTACAATCCAAAAATAGTGAAAGTAGCGAGAGCAAAGAAAATGCATACCTTCCCAAGGAAAGTCAGAAGTTACTAAGCTAGCCAAACAGTCACACCATCTACACCTTGTGAGGACTGTGCTCTACCTAAGAAAGCGAATTGCTGACTACTGGTTTCCTCATTAAGCATATTGAATATATATATATACACACACACAAAATGTGTTATCGTGTCAGGCCTTCCTTAATATTTCTAACAATGCAACAAGTTAGAGGTATTATTGCATGAATTACAGATTTATTCTGAGAATTTTCTTTCATACCCAAGCAAAATTGGTATTGTACAATGAAATATCCTTAACTGAATCAATGTTGACTCAAATAGAATGGGAAACCTTATCCATTCGAGACCTTGTGAATAAGAATTAAATTGATTTTGGAAATCAATGGCAATACAGACAGACAGACAGACACACACACACACACACACATACATACACACACTCTGAGAGGGTGACCATGAAAGCAGCAGGTGCTGTGGACATTTCTCCATGGTTGGCAGGTCTGCTACTGTTCTTTTTATCTTGCTGTATATGTGACTGTCTTTCGTCTTTTTCTTCTTCCCTTTCTTCCATTTCTGTGTGTGTGTGTGTGTGTGTGTGTGTGTGTGTGTGTGTGCGTGTGTGTTTTTTGTATTTGAATGCATGTCTGTCTCCTATTCCCTACCATGATTGGACATTGACAGAGATCTGGAACAGCCTACCGAGACCTCCGATTCCCTATTGGTGGAGGGTTCTGGTGACTTGGAGTAAGGGCCCAGTTGCAAACTACAGAATCTCTAGAAAAATACAATTAAGGCACAACCATATTGTTTTTCTAGGACATTACTCTTAATCTGTAGCTTAAGATGCCATTGGTGATATACAAAACATAAGTAGGAAGCTTGATGCACTTGAGCCATTTACGTTTCCATAAAAGCACCTGACCTGCTCTACACATAAGTTGATGCCTCTTAATATTTTTAGATTTGAAACTTTAACACAATCAGCTGTTTTGCCTTTCATTATAATAAGATTAACTGCATAAAACAGGGGAGGCCTACCAACACACTTTACAGCTCCTTAGAGCTTTTTAATCTCTAGCTCTCCATTTGGTTGTATGGCTTGTAGCGCCATCTGCCATCAACCCCATGTCCAGCCGCAGGCAGCAACTTTTCCAGTTGTGTTGAAGCTTTGGTGGTTAGGACATGTAGTAGGTGACGTGGGTCAGGACACCGGAGTTATGTATTTATTGTGAACTCAAATGTAGATACACAGTCACTTACACTCTTGTACCATTGGTTAGCAGTGTGTATATGAAAGAAGTGTATATGGCCTCCACTTGCCTGAAATACAATAACCAACTCAAAATGGCCAAATCTAAAAGTGTACACTGAGAATAATTCGGTGGCTTTTCTCTGGTGTGTATGAGTGTCTGAGGCACTAATTTATGTTTGTCTCCAATTTATATTGACCACCTTAATGAATGTCCTGAATCTTGATATTTCTGTCCGGGTGGTGCAGTCCTTTTAGCTGCTTGTGACCATGAGCCTGATATACAGGAGACTCTTGCCAAAATCAATTGCAACAATGATGCCTAGCATGCTCTCTGCCAGGTTAATCTTGCTGGGGCAACACGTGAGTCAAATATACCCAGTGTTACAGAGCATTCTGGGATGCTGTCCAGGCTGCTTTGCTGTCTGGATAAGTTTGCCTTCAAGGCTCTCTGCCAGAACGCCCATGTGTGGCTGCTTCTTCTTGCTTGAGATGTTTAGGGCCAATTACAACAACCTCAGTTTTGTCTGAATTTAGAAGTAAGAAGTTTTGGGTCATCCAGGCCTTGATGTTCTTGAGACATTCCTGAAGTTGAACTAAGTGATTAGATTTATCAGGCTTCATAGAAATGTACAGCTGGGTGTCGTCTGTGTAACAATGGTAGTGTATGTGGTGCTTTCTGATGATGTTGCCTAAGGGGAGCATGTATAAGATGAAGAGTATAGGTCCAAGGACAGAAACTTGTGGAACTCCATGACTAACTTGCATGTGCATGGAGGGGTCATTGTTAACATTAACAAATTGAAATCTATCTGATAAATATGATTTAAACCAGTGTAGTGCAGTTCCTCTGATCCCTACATGTTGTTTTAGTCTCTGTAACAGGATCTTATGATCTATGGTGTCAAATGCTGCACTAAGATCCAACAGGATGAGTACAGAGACAAGTCCATCATCTGAGGCCATGAAAAGGTCATTAGTGACTTTTAACAGTGCTATTTCTGTGCTGTGATGGATTCTAAATCAAGCAACAGCTAAATGTTTAATATTTATTCAAGAGCAATTTTTGTTAACAGAGCCAGAGAGTCCATTTTATTTATTGTTTATAATAATAATAATAACTCTATTTGTATAGCACTTATCTAAACAGGTTACAAAGGCGAAAAGAAGAATGAATTATAATAAAAGGTTCAATTCAGTTACATTTTTTGGGCCACGGAACTGTTGTTTAACCATCACATTTAAGCTCTGTAAGACTGGTTGTTGTAATGAAAATAATAATCTTCAATTGTACCTTGGTGTCATCAGGTGTTTCAGCATTTTAATCATAATAACATTGAAAGAGGCAAAAGGTAAATCTGAACGGCTACTGGTTTGTATGGCAGTGCTATGAAAGCCATTTGGCCCTCTCAGTAGATCAGACAGATATTATAATATTATAATATTTTTAATTCCAATCTAAATAAAACTGAATGTTTTTAAGAATTAAAAGTGCACAATAGCTAATTTCAGAATAATATATGACAGGATTCTCAACAAAGGAGAAGATTAAATCTGATGTCAGAGGGTCCCTGCATGTGGACACAGTGGAGGACCTGATTAGAATCAGTCTTGAGGGAACTAGCTTGAAGGATGTTGATGCCAAGGAGGCTGAACAGATGAGGTTCAGTCAGGGCAAAAGAGCTAGAAGGCCCAACTGCAAGGGTTGGCCTTCAGATGTGCCAGGCCTTAGTGGTCCTCAGGGATGGAGCGGCATTCTGTAACAGGAAGTTCCATGTTTACTTGTTTTGTTGTGGTTGTTATTTTGTAAATGTTCTATTTATTACCAAAACATTTACCAGTATAACAGTTAAGATGGGGAAAGAATATGAATGTGTAGCGTTGCATGTCGCTGTAAGTGGTGCGTCGCAATTTCGTTCTGATAACCAGTGCTAATAGTCGAAGTTAATCTGGAGCCATTACACTGTAATATCTGTAAGTTGTCTATGTATGGGGGGAAATGTGAATAGTTGTGTTCCAGGTCTACTTAAGGTGTGCCACTAAATGATCTGCTTGCACTCCTAAAGATTTCAGCAAGGGGCTACAGTGTTCCTAAGAAAAGTTAGTCTGGAGCCCTGCATTAAAAGTAAAAGCCCTCTCGCGTTTTTGTTGACTGAATCCACTGATTTGTAATTTAAAAAAAAATATGTTTGTGTCTGTTTTATTGACTATTGCATAGACATTGGGAGTTATTCACATTGCCATGACTAGCAACAGTAGCCCTATCGAACTTGGGAGAAAATTAGATTTGTAGCACGAGGTGAGGCCTAAGACTAAAAAGAGGCAACGAACCTTATGTGTAAGTTATGTATGTGCTTTTAAACACGTGAACACTGGCTGAAGTAGAGTGCAGTTGATAGCAAATAGAACTTCACATGAACTAGAGACAGGGGTTCAAGTGAATTAGCAGCATCTGTAATGGTGGCAGAATCAGTGCTGCTGTAGGAATTATTTCCTTTTTGCATGCTGTTGCCCAATTTTTCAACAATCGAACAACATTGTGTTCACACAGTTTGGAAGCATACTCAGTGAAATCTAACCTGGACATCTGTACTTTACTCATGACTATTGTTTAATATCCTATTTAGTGGGCTTGAGTGCAAACCCAAAATACCAGTAATTGTCAACATACAGTATATGCTGACTGTCTAGGATGTTTAAATTGTGTACTAATATTTGTAGAATCTTCTTTTTACTAACAGCCCCTGCATTTTATCTTTCTTTAAACCAATTAACCACCATACATTGTTGAACGGTGGTTTTTTTCATCTTCTGTTTCTGCTCTATCCATTTATTCCTTATTTGTCCTGTTACCTATCTGTATCATCCTTCCTTTCCTGTGGGCTGTCTCTTCATCCCTGTGCTGTCCTGTGGTCTCTCAGCTCTGCTACTCCCTCTGAGGATCCTGCTCCTCCTCTGTCTGAGGCAGACGAACTTCTTAACAAGTAAGGTTTTCCTCTGTATAAATTTTGTTCCATGTGTTTCTGCCTAGCTTTGCATGGTTACTATAAAAGGGGGTTGACGGAAGTGCGAAATAAACTGTGAATAACCCATTCTTTTTCCACCAGAATCATATCAATAAGGTTATCTGCTGTACTTTTCCGAACTTCACAACTCTTTCAGACACTTATTAGTACTAGAATCAAGCCATAGCAGTTAGCATTGTTACTAACCCACCCTGCCTTGCTGACCTAGTAGTTGACTTGTTTTGTCAAGTCTCACTGTGTTCTGTTTTTGCTCCATTCTGAGGAAGGCTATGTTTCAATCGATCCAATTTTATTTGTAAAGCCCTTATTCACAAATCAGAGTTTGTCTCATAGGGCTTAACAAGGTGTAACATCGTCTGCCCTTAACCCTCAACAAGTGTAAGGAAAAACTACAAAAAAAAACTTTTTACAGGGGTAAAACAAACGGTAGAAACCTCAGAGAGAGCCACAGGGCAGGGATCCCTCTCCCAGAATTGACAGAAGTGCAACAGATAACGAGAGCAGCAGAGTACATCAACAAAATAACAATATTTACATTGATGATAAAATACAGTGTCTAGCATAAATGGAGAGATACATCAATGCTAGCTTTTATTTTTTGATTCATAGTTTCTTTGCCAAATTTAATCCAAAACCATACTATATTAGATTTACATCAAAGTAAAACAAAAAGTTAAAAAAGGAAAAGAACAACTCTCAGTAGTCAATAAGCTGAAATCAGTGGATTTAGGGAATTTCTACATAATGAAACAGTTAGTGATATGAATATCAGCATGATACAAACAATACAATACTTTCAGCTGACTGGTGTCTATTAGATAAGAGTATTCTACCTTAAACATAACTGGGTCACTGGCTAAAAGTGCTAAAACATTTTGCCAGACTTTGCTTCTCCCTCTTGCCTCTAGCTATACAGTAACTATTGACTATTTGGCTTTTTAACAGGGCAATGGACAACATGTCTGAAATTGGTGCATTGTTTATCACTGCTGTGGGGATTGGGCTACTTGAACATTTAATCATAACACTGAAAAAACTGTGTTTTTAATACAGTAAAGTCACTTGAATAAAGAGTGGAGACAATCTGCTGCCATTTACACCAGGAACACCATAAGTCCATAATGCTAAATTATTTATATTAAAATAAGTTAGATATTTTTCATTCAGGTCTTTTTCTGAATTTGAGAGAAGAGTAACTGTCAGAGTGACATTTCTGTTTACTAACCATTTAAATGGCTTCATTCTACAGGTTTGTCTGCAAGAACAATGGAGTTCTGTTTGAGAATCAGCTGCTACAGATTGGCATCAAGTCAGAATATCGTCAGAATCTAGGTGAGTCACAGAAAAGAAAGTGTTAAGCAACACACGCACCTTTTGGCAAAATTTGTTATCAAACAGTTGGAAATTGCTAGTTTTTTTTTGTTGATCATTTATTTATAAATGGTCAGGATTCTGATACTTAGTGGGATCATTCATCAGGTGGTTTGGTGGTTTTAAATAAACAAATGACAGATTTATTTGATTGACGTGCAAGACCCATGTTAGGTAAGCGGTAAATTAGGTGAGAAAGGTAAGAAAACTTAAAAACTTTAGGTCACCAAAATCAGTAATCACGGTAAAAAAAGACACGTAGAAGAAACCGACAAATATGCCAAGAGATTATGGGGTGATAAGAGCTCTAGACAGTGGCTTATCTTGATGGAAGAGCAGCATAGTCTCCAGACTTAAAGGCTCAGTGTATAGAATTTAGTGACATCTAGTGTTGAAGTTGCATGTTGCAGCTGAACACCCCTCACCTCACCCTCTCCTTCCAAACATGAAAAAGAAACTGTGATAGCTTCAGTTGTCATAAAAACTCAAAAGGTGTTTAGTTTGTCCAGTCTGGACTAATGTAAAAAACATGGCGGCCTCCGTAGAGAGGATCCCCTCAATGTAAATGTAAAGTATTTAAATATGAATGGCGTAATCTATGGCGTAAAGAAAACAACAATTCATTTTGATGAAACACACACAAGGATTATTTTATATTTAATTTGTGCCAATAGATCCATTTCACCTAAATCTTACACACTGAACCTTTAAGGAACAGCTGGATATGCCACTGATCACTTTATGGCACAGTTTCCTGGTCTGTCATATTTTATAGCTGTATTCATAAAGGAAATGTGCTTTTAACATCTGTGTGTGTGTCTGTATGTGTCTCTCTCAGGGAGAATGTACTTATTCTATGGCAACAAGACTTCAGTGCAATTTGCCAGTTTTACCACCACAGTCAGCTGTCCTGGGGAGCTGCAGTCTCATATCCTTTCTGTTTCAGTGTATTCTTATTACCATTTTCAAATCCCCTTTACTATGGGATACCAGCTAAATAAAAGTTTTTTTTAAAGAAAAGATGTTTGTGTGTCCATTGCAAAGAATGTAGGGGAAACAGTAGCAAACGTGGCTTTATAACTATGTGGTATTGACTACTTGTCCCCTTTCTTCATGATCTCTCTCTTTCTGTCCATCCTGCTCTCTCTCCTTTCCATTCATCTCTGATTGATAAGTCAACTGTAAGAACTGTGGGCAACTGAATGGCTACCTGTCCATTTTCTCAACTGGCTCTCTCTCTCTCTCTCTCTCTCTCTCTCGCTCTCTCTCTCTCGCTCTTTACAACAGCGGCTTGTTTGTGTAAAAAAGTTTTTTCACTATAGCAAAAATCACTTGACAGAACACGATCTCTCGCATCATACCAGGGAAAACAAATTTGAGGGTACGCTGACAGCAGCTGGAAGTGTTAAGAAGTTAGTCTGTGTAATGTCTTGATGGTCCTTGACAACTGGGCACAGCTCAACGTTCAGACCAAACCAGTGGAACCGCTAGTGGAAGGGGGAGCCCAGATCCAGCAGGTTCTCAACATTGAGTGTCTGACTGACTTCTCTGATGCCCCCCTGCTCAACATCAAGTTCAGGTGAGCTCATACAACCAACCCATGCCCAACAGTGAGTGGTGACAAACTAGAAATTGGGACTCAGTCTCAGTGAGAATTATTTTGTAAACTGACTTATAATCTGCAACTTTCCTTCACTGTATGGATCATTTGAAATGTTCAGGATTTTTTGGCATACTTGGTATTTAATGAATAACAGGTTTTGTTTTTATTCCCTGTTTAAACAGTCCTGACAACACACGCACACAGTGTTTCAACCAGCAGTGTGTATACATATGTTTTCATTATCAGGTATGGAGGAGCTTTGCAGAACCTTACACTCAAGCTGCCTGTCACCATTAACAAGTTCTTCCAGCCAACTGAAATGTCCTCACATGACTTCTTCCAGCGCTGGAAACAGCTTAGCCAGTAAGTGCCTCCCTACTGCTCGTGTGATGTCAACCAAGTTTCTGCATGCCCCGACATTCATATTTGACTCGAAACGAAGTCATTTACGCCGTGTCTTAAGCCTAGGCATGGTGGTGAGTAGATAATGAGTGCATTTTCATTTTTCGGTGAAATATCCCTAAAACTACTTCAATGTTAATGGAAAAACAATTGCATTGTCACGGCCAGTCCAAGCCTCTGGTAAAGTTTGCTGTTTGAACTCTCTTCAGGCCTCAGCAAGAAGCACAAAAGATATTCAAGGCCAACCACAGTATGGACACAGAAGTACTTAAGGCAAAGGTATGTCCACATTTCTTCTCCTAAAGCCTCTTAGGAAATCTTGTCAACAAAATGCCTACATAACACAGGCTCTTTGTTGAACTAGCACTACTGTACTCTTCATTTCCAGGATTTGTTTGTAATTGT